CCTCCATACAGAACATGTTACCATAGTCTCTTGAGACTGAAGGACACCTAAACTATAGCCTAGGTCATCTTTATGTAGAGCATAAAGTTCATTTTTTCAGTTCTTCAGACAGTTCATTGCTATGAGGGGCCATGTGGAACTTCCAGTGACCAGTCTGAGAGAGTGAGAGCGATAACACCTGCTCCCCCTCACACTGGCTTGTGACACTAATGGGTCCCATGACACCAGGGAGAGAAAATGGCTACTTGGGCCCAATTTGGACATTGTCACTTAGGATTGTACTCACTTTTGTTGCCAGCGGTTTAGACATTAATGGCTGTGCGTTGCGTTATTTTGAGGGGAAAGCACATTTACACTGTTATACAAGCTGTATACTCACTGCTTTACATTGTAGCCAAGTGTCATTTCTTCAGTGCTGTCACATGAAAGGATATACTAAAATATTTATGAAATGTGAGGGAGTGTACTCACTTCTGTGATACACTGTACATGTTAAGTTGGAGTTTGCACATCCTTCAAAAATTGGAGAGCAGTTTCTTCTATTGAAGACATAAGAAGAGCCATGCTGGAGTAGACCAAAGGTTACTTGGCATTGTCAAACCCATAGTCAGGAGAAATGAGTGCCAGTAGCTCCCTAATTGTGCTTCCTAGTATACTGACTCTGGGAATCAAGAGAATAGTAGCAGTCATTGGTAGCTGTGGCCTTTGTTAACTTCTCATCTTCCTTTAAAAAGTTCTTCAAGTTGGCAGCTTACTCCTTTCTCTGTTAATTCCATTGTAATTTACACTGCTAATGAGTGCCTATTTCAATACTTGATAGTGTTCCAGTTGTGTTCTAGGACACATGTCTAGGAATTTGATTAGGTATTTGTTAATGTGTGGCTGTTTGCTAATCCAGGTTATGCCATTGCCCTCATGCTGGCCTGAATATTCAGTTGAATTCTGGCCATTATGTGAGCAAGGAAGTTCACCACAGAAACCACTGAACTAGAGAGGTCTGTTAATGAGACCATTTATTTCTCAATGATCTGGTGAAAGTTAATAAACCATGAGTTTTTTCTTGCAGTTGTTAGGCATTCAGGTGCCTTCTGACGATATGGAGATGCAGTTTTAATCCTTCCAGTGTTTACTGTGAATCATGGCAGCCTAAACTGGGAGCTAGTGGACATGGTTTCCCCACAAAGTAGTCTTTAATTGCTGTATGAGATCTCAATCCCACCTTGAAGTATTTGTGTGCAGTGCTAGAAGAAACTTCATCTGACCCTGAGAAGTGCCGCTTCGGGGGTCTTCTGACACCTTCATTGGCCAGCCATAGCAGTCTCCTAAATCAAATAACAAACAGTGGTTGAACATTCTTGATAGTAGTAAGAGACTCCTTCCATGTCCTTTCCCCTTCTTCTCCTCCAAGTCATAGAGCTTGGAGTGTTTCCAGAATTGTAAATGGAGGGAGCAAATGTTTCGCAAATACTTCTTGCCTTTCATAGCCTTCCCTAGGTCACTTCCTAGGGTCTGGGACTTCAGTCTCGGAATTAAACAGTCCTGAATACATGTTCCAAGTGCTGTTATCTAAAAACAACATATCTTTTGTTTCAGCCTTCAGGTATGTTCTTAGTGAATCCTGGAATAGACCAGACAAGGTTCTAATGGACTTATGCATCTGACTGTAGAAAATTTGTTTTTCTATTCATGAGTGAGACTCTGCCTTCTATCAGCTGACAAGACATGTGAATAGCAAACAAAAACAAAAAAGGGCAGAAAGTGGGAGGGGAGCAACAAATGTACCACAAGATCTATTTGATTCAGTGCACAGCTGTGCAAAATAATGCTTTGATCTTTGGGATGGCTTTCTTTCTTTAGTTTCTAGGGCTTTCTTAACCAGGCTCAAACCATTCAATTCCTGCAACTTTTCTGTAACTGGAGTGACCCTATATTCTACTCCAATTAGATCATAGCCTCTGAAATAACAACTTGACTGTTTCAGTAGCTGAAGAATTAAAAAAAAAACTATAACCATGACTTTCCTTACAACAGCCACGTTTGAAGGAGGCAGACTCTTTGGTGAAAGTATGGATAAGGCCCAACATATGCTCTAATAACAGGACAAAGAGAAAGATAATTGAGTCATAGAATAATTGAGTTGGAAGGGGCCTATAAGGCCATTGAGTCCAACCCCTGCTCAATACAGGAATCTAAATTAAATCAGAACTGACATAGTGTTACCCTATTTTTCGCTCCATAAGACACACCTTTCCATAAGACGCACCAATTTTTTAGGAGAAGAAAACAGGAAAATATAATTTGTTTTCTTCGCTCCATAAGACGCACAGACTTTCCACCCCCATTTTGTGGGGGAAAAGTGCGTCTTATGGTGCGAAAAATACGGTATCTAATTTTCTCTTGAATACCTCTATTCTACCAAGATTTGCCCTCAGTTTTTTTTTCTGACACCTTTTCTTACAGTCATCAGGCTTTATACCCATTCTTTTCATATGCCTTTCCAAGTACAATTGTCTGTGCAAGACGTTCGCCTCAATAGACCACAAGGCTGTGAAATCATCTTGCCTGGAACATAAATTAACACTCCCCCCATCTCCCATCTGCAGCACCTTTCAGCCTAGCTAGTATGGACCAACAAAACGTTGAAAGTGACAGATCAACTTGCACTATGTAAGTCTCCTGCCTCATCCATTTAGGATTTTTCTTTCAGGCATTTTCTGTTTTTATGATAAAGCAAAATAGAAATGGAACTGCCTAAATATTTATCCCTTCTTCCATCCCTAGATGCTTTTTTAATTGAAATTTAGTTTTCTGGAAGGCTAAGAATACATATCATTTTTATACTGAAGTCTATAATCCTACGTGAAAAATAAACATTTTATATTATTCAGTGACACATTTGATAACTGTGTCTGGAGGACTACTATACTATTTCTACATGAGAATGGTAACAAATATGCCAAGATTTTTAGAACAGTGTTTGGTTTGTTGAATTCCAACAACAGCAAAAAATATTTAACTTGGTAGTTTTATGTTGTGTTTAAGGGTAGATTATCTTAAATCAATGATAGCAACAGATTTGTTTGACAACCTTGAGGGGAGCATTTCTGATGGGACAATGATGAGAATTTCAAAATACTTAGTGCATAAATTCAAATCTCTTCTCTCAATAGCTATAGCTGACTAGTTGTTTTTCAGTCAGCATGTTGGGAAGAAGATATGGCAAATGGGAAGCCCTCATTCTCAATGAACATAATATACTAGCAAATGCACTAGACACTGATAACTTGAACCACTTACAGTGACTCGCCTCTCACAGTACAAGAGCTTTTGAAATCACTTTGGAGACTTTACAACGAAGGCAGCAGACTACAATAGATAGTGATGAAAATTGGTGGATGTTTTTAGCAGTCACCTCTGCAACGAGTGCTTCAGAGATTCATAATTAACTAGCTATTCTGAGTGTCCCCAGACAGTGCTCATAATATAGTTCAGTTGCCCTAATATTTTCATGTTCTTTCTGTCTTTGTTTCTGAATGAAGAAAAATAACTGATCTAAATATGTTTTCCATGTTGAGGCAAATTATGCCTAAAATATGTGTTTTCATAGTAGATGAGTTTGGTCAATTGTGTGAATAAAAATATGTTTCCTAAGTTGTTGGAGGCATTTACTTAAATGTGTGCATGTATCATTTGATGGAAGTTGGTTGAAGTAGAAGATCTGACTACTTCTACATTGAATGCAATAGACAGTCAGTCTGAGCATGCTAGCAAATATTTTTAAGTAGTGTTTTTGCCTTTCAAGCTTCCTTTGAAATTTCAGTCCACTGGATTTTTTGTACAATAATACTATGTATTATAAAGCTAAAGTGAAGTGGTTTGAACCCAGCTAATGGGAGTAAAGTCAAATGAGAAGTCATTATATGAAAACCTTGAAAGCAGATCTTTCTGACTAATGCACTTTTCAAACTATCCAGCCTTATTAGAGCAACTGAGGCTATTGTAATGTAATACTGCCTCTCTTACTGAGCAATTCGAACTGATGGTACCATACTTGAAACTGCTTTCCTTACAGTAGAGTGTGATAGTACACCTCTACTTAGTAAGCAGCATTTAGTATGGCATTCTCTGTAGATAGTTTTGTCACAGAAACAAGATAAGTTAACAGTCAACTCGTGTGTGTGTGTGTGTAAAATATAGAACATGAGCCCTATTTTAGGGTGAAATGTGTGATCTAAATAGCACAAAAATAATATATCTAATGTATAGTATTTGCAACTGGCTTCTTGAAAGACCCATCAACTACAGGAGTTTTGCGAGGAGACTCCAAGAAAATGAAAATGTTACCACTTATATCATTACATAGTCCAGTGCAGATAGGTCTTCAGTCCATCAGCTACTTACTTTGTTGGATGAGTTCATGTTTAAATGCTTTTTAGCTGCAGTGAGACACAGAGTCATTGTCTTGTAGCAAAATTATAATACTGCATATATTTTTCTTCTTGTATTCACAGGAAGATGGAAAGGAATTTCTTTACAATGAGAACACAGTCAAAAGAAGTGACAACATTATGGACAAATGGATTCTTTCTTTCACACAGTCGTTGATTCAGTTCTTCAAAGTTGAAATGGCTGGTGCGTATCCTCTGTACATTTTCATAACATTTCAAGATTTGAATTATGTTTATTTGAGTACTACAGAATTTTGCAGTACAAAGACACCACCTGAAATATTTCTGTGTATGTTTACTTATGTTGTCTTCTTGTTTATTGCTTTTGCCTGCTATGTGGTGGCAATGGACAAGTTGTCCACCGCCATGGGAGAGAACGGCTTTGGATTCTTTTATTAGATTTTTTAAAAAAGCTAGTTTATTGCCTCCATAGCCAACGGCAACAGCAGAGTTCCACTTGGTAGCCCAACCAATGTTTTCTTCCCTGAGATCCACAAACAATAGGTATTGGGGGTGGGGAGGGGGATAGCAAGCCCCTCCTTGGTAGTATCTCCCATTTTTCATGGCACCTGCCTCTCCCTACATACTATAGCAAGAGCAATGACAATACGAAAATCTCCCTCCTGCAAAAGGTAGGACAAGTGCTCCTGCTCTTGAATTTGTAAGCACAAATAACTCACAGAAAATTATCCCACTGCTTAGTGAACCCACTCTGTGTTTGGGCTTGTGAATTCACTTTCATTGCATGAAAACTGCCAAAGTTATGCTTATGGATCTTTAACCTATGCTGTTATTATGACTAAACAAGGCTGCAAAAATATTCTATAATAAATATGCTTAAAAATTCTTTCTAACCTCCTCCACTTACTAAGGCAAACTTGCCAGTAAAGAGATGGTAAAATGCAAGAGGATGCCTATTGAATTGCTGCTTTTAAGTGCTGCCAAGGAAAGTCCAACTAGTTCTGGTTTTGGCTTTATGTTATTTGAGCAGGCAAGGCGACCCTGTAAATATGCAGTAATTGGTTTAACGATTTATTTTCATACAGAGTTTACCTACATTGTTTTAATGTTCTTTAATTGGTATTTTATTGACATTTCAATGTATTTGTATTGTTACAAGCCATTATTTGACAGCAAGGCAGAAAACTGGTTTAACAGATGAATGAATGAACAGATTAGGCATCCTTCAGTCTCGAGAGACTATGGTATGAATGAACAAAGTAAGAGGTAAAACAGTTGTGTTAGCAGTTTGCCAAGAAACTATACAAAATGATCCATAATCACCAGTCTATTATAGAAGTGGTGCTTATTTGTATATGGTATACTTAATGTCTGGTTTTTGGACAGGTCTGGTTGAGTCTTAATGGTTGGTTCCTATAAACCATGTGTTGCAAATTGTTATTCAGCCTCAGAATTCTGAACTCTTACCACTTTGTCTCCATCCTTTTCCAATGCAAATGTTCTCCCTGTCCTTCTTTTAATGGTTTTATCCAAAGTTTGACGTTGATTGTACACCAGTGACAATCATGGTATTAATCAGTGTTCTCCTTTTAATCCATATTGGAAACTAGGGTTGGAAGTGGCTTTGCAAACCTTGATTAAGAAAGAAAAAAAGTGGTTCATAATTAAATCCAATTTTACTCTGAAGTGATACTGTTTTCAATTTTTTACATATGTGTTTAAATATTGCCATGATATTTATCCGGTTGTTTTGTGCTTTCTTGTTCATTTTCAGCTTACAGATTGTACACTGTTGTTCCTCGACTAGTTAAGTTTGTGGATGTGCTTACCAATTGGTATGTCAGAATGAACCGCAGGAGGTTGAAGGTAGGCTGTTCTTGCTTCTGGTACATAAGAACTAGAAACAATCTCCACCTGTGTTGATTCACATTTCCTTTAAATCTGAGTTGCATCTGTGTGTGTATGTGTGTAAAATCTAACTTTAGAATAAATAAGAAAAAACCTGTGCCTTGTTTAATCTCTACTATACGTATGAATATTTCTCCAACAGGGGGAAAATGGAACAGATGACTGCATTATGGCCTTAGAAACATTATTTAGTGTTCTTTTCTCCATGTGCAGACTTATGGTAAGAGTCTATCAGAGTCCCACATAGTCATTCTCATAATTAGCTCTGGTACAAAAGCTTCACCGCTTGGAGTGGTACTAGAAAACCAATAATGTTTGGCTTCAGATTCAAGGATGTTATAGCTCTGTGTATAGGTTGTGATTCTGGGTGTGGGGTCATAGGAAAAGCGCAGAGTAGAATAAAAGAGGCAAAATCCAATGTTCTGAGAATCTCAGCTACACTGGGGGGGGGGGGAAACAAGACTGCACCCATCTTTGTGAATTCTCCCTTTGCAGGCAGATCAGATCCACAAAGAAAGGGTTGCTTGAGGAGTTGGGACTTGATAAATGCACTTGCGCATTCCTCTGTCCAAAGTGAGAGGGTTTGTTTGTTTGTTTTTGAATAGTAACAAAGTTATGAGCCAGATCTGATGTTTGTTCCAACTAGAGCTATTAAAATCAGTGGGGCTTGTTAGTTAGCTGGCATTGATGTAAGTCCAGTTGATTTCAATGATTCTGCTTCAGTTGGGACTAACATAGGATTTAGTACAATTAGTGTACCTTTTTTCTCAGTAATCTTCCATCCTGATTACTAAGCATGTCTATGTGCATTTAGCTCAGATAAGGATATTTGGTTATTTTCCTTGGAAACAACTTTCAGTCTGAACTCTACAGCATGGAATTTAATCATGCATTGAAAAATGTGGAAGAAAATGTGTTTCCAGTAAAAGGAAATCTATGAGCTTTCACAAACTGTTTTAGCAGAATGAGTTAATTACTTGAAAATGCATGCATCTGAACAACAGTCTAATGAAAAATGTCATTTCAGGCACCTTATACTCCCTTTATCACTGAACTGATGTACCAGAATTTGAAGACTCTTATTGATCCAGCATCTGTTCAGGAGAAGAATACTGACAGTATTCACTACCTCATGCTTCCTCAAGTTAGGTGAGGAACCCTTTCAGCTGCAGTGAATACTCAAGCTCTGTTGTGAAATTTAAATTATATTCCCTTTGCACTTTGCAGTAGAGGGGGTGATACTTTGTGTATTTGTTGTTCATTGATGAATTATGGAAACTATGGTGCATTTTAGTTCTGAAGTAGATTATTATTAGACCTTTAGCAAAAGCAGCAGTGGTATTCTAGAGAATGTCAGAAATTTGGTTAGCACTAGTTCTGTTTTTTTAATTCCTGTATTCCCTTTTTAAAAAAAATATAAGGATATATTATAGAAAATGTGTTGTGCCTACATCATGTGCTGAGTTAGTGGGGCAATAAATTAAATGGTGAGACATTAAATAGCTATCATTTTTTACTGGCTACAGCTTAAACTGAGTTAAGTGTGGCACAGAAAAGTCAGGCATCTGGATTTCTAATAGCCAGAGGCAATATTTCAGCATGCATACTGATGAAAAAAAGCTAAAGTGGTGGAGAACAGACCCCCACCACTGAGGTCTTGGACCAAGAACATTGGTTTGGTAAAGGAAAAAACCCAGTTTACTAGAACAGTCATGGATGTGGGTAGATTCCTTCCCAGCTCTGGCAGCTGATAAATATGCAGTGCATGGCAACGCTGCACGAGAGAAGAATGAAACTGGTACTGCTTGAAGCCTGTTCTGGTCTGTTTTCTTGCTACTGTATATTGTATGACCCAGGAACATGCAAGATGTTCTTTTGACAATCTGTGTTGATTACAGTTGAGTCAGTTAAGTTATCTCATGGCAGGGCCACTACTCTTCCTACTTCCTGCCTGGCAACAGGAACAAATGGAGAATTCCAGAATGTGAGGTCGAGTGGCTGGGGCTACAGAAATCAAATTGGGGCAACAGAAATTGGTCTTCAACTCCCCAGACCCCCAGCTGGTGTGGCCAGTAGTAAAGGGCGGTGGGAATTGTAGACTTTTGATGAACAGCATTTGTTTAATCACAAAGTATGGCATACTGTTTTCCTCAATTACTTTGGGCATGGGTTAGGAAGCTACATAGATGCCACTTTTTTGCTCCCCTCCCCACTGTTGGTTTTTGTCCTTCCCCTTCTGCTCTTCTTGTAATTCCAAATCAGGTGTTGTTGTAAGCTTTTCCACATCCAGTTGTAAAATGGCATTGGAATCTGCTGCTGCATGCATAAGTGTTTGTGTGGCTGTGTGTTGTCATAAATCTTTAGACACAGTGCTGAATTGTAGACTGCGGAAGAAAACCAGTGCTGCTAAACCATTTTGGAAACAAGTGGATGACAACATTTTAAAAATTGACCGTAGATCAGTAATTAAAACAAACAAAAGGAGCTGCAGAGGTCTCCATTAGGTGGAGGTGACCTGATGGCATGTAACAACAGCAAGCTGTAGAAGAGTGCTGGCAGAGAATTGGCCTGAAGAGGCATTTATTCCTCTTTTGGTCCCAAGTGTTTCTTCTCTGGCTTTTTGGTCTTCTGGCCGTGCTGCAGTTTGCCTGCATGGGCAAAAGGCCTGGAGGTCAATGTTATTGCATGAATGTACTTGGCAAAAAGGGCTCCATCAGCTTTGAATTTTGTTTATAAGCAGAACTTGGAAAACATGTCTTGCAAATAACTCCTTGATGTTAAATTCATGACTTTTTTGAACTAATGCCAGAAAATGGCCTTTAAAATCTAATCTTGTAAAAATAATGTTTCAAAAAGTAACAGCAACATGGTTTTTACTACTTGTTAAAAATACCAAGTAAAATATGTTCACGTGACTTCTGCACAGGATACATGCCAGTCAAAATTCTGCTTGCCCGAAGGGAAACGTGCATATATTTCCAGCCTTGGGGTACTGGGTAGTCTAGGACTCTCAGAAGACTTAATACTGTAGGCTATTGGCTGTGTTAGCAAAGGCTTCTGGGTATTGTAAGGTAAAGGTAAAGGTTCCCCTTGACAATTGTTGTCCAGTCGTGTCCGACTCTAGGGGGCGGCGCTCATCCCGCTCTTCAAGCCATAGAGCCAGCATTTGTCCGAAGACAATCTTTCCGTGGTCACATGGCCAGTGTGATTTAGACATGGAATGCTGTTTACCTTCCCACCAAGATGGTCCCTATTTATCTACTCGCATTTGCATGCTTTCGAACCGCTAGGTTGGCGGGAGCTGGAACAGGCGACGGGCGCTCACTCCGTCGCGTGGATTCGATCTTACGACTGCTTGGTCTTCTGACCCTGCAGCACAGGCTTCTGCGGTTTAGCCCGCAGCGCCACCACGTCCAGATGTATTTTAGGGGTGGAATTGGACTCTCTAGTATGAACATAGTTTTGACATGGAAATATAGCCCCCCCCAAACCTAAGAGTTACAGCCTGAGACCATCAGATGCCCTAAGGCTGGAAGACCCTGCACTTCCATTTACATGTCTTTGAGCACTACAGTATAAGATGTGACTGAAAGTGTAGTCTTGGTTTAGGCCTCATGATTTCCTCTCCAACACAGCTACTGAGGTCACAGCAACCAATTCCTAATGTTTCCACTGTCAGCTCAACAAACTGTCCTGCTGTCTGGGGTGGGGGTTGGGATAGAGAATCTGGCTTCAGTCTCTAATGGATAATGTTAAAATAATGTTATTTGATGTCAAACTGCAAACCAGCAGCTGCTGTCCAAATTGGAGATGTACCTAATATAAATGTAGTTTTGAAAGAGAAATACAGGCAGTTTCCTAATACTTCTGAGTCATTTATCAAGATAGCTAAACATATATTATACCGATAATCCAATGCTATGGATTTCTGCAATATAAAAACATGATTTAGTGTGTAACACAATGTGTGTCGTCATTTCAGGTGCCCTTGGATGGCTATCATGTAGGGCACATTAAAAGGATCTTCAGTTATTTATAGGATTCTAACTTAGTGTCTTAAATCCCAGGTGCTTTCTTGTTCTCTTCAGTTAATGATGCCAGAAATTAGAGTGATCTGAGAAAGTAAATTACTTGAAAAAAGAAACTGTGAATTGACTTTTTGTTTATTCTGTTTGTTTTCAATAGCTGCTTTATAATAAGGGAGGGTTTTCCCCTCAGAAGAGCTCTGTAGTAATAGTAGAGGCATTCAGCAAGAATTGGTTTCATGTTTCTCATGTCCCCACACTGTATAATGCACTTACCCAGAAAGCAGTCAGACTGTACATGTCACAGTCATCAGTCATCAGTCTACATTGGCTCGGACATGTTGTGAGAATGGCTGATGGTTGGATTCCAAAAGATCTCCTGTATGGAGAATTAGTGCAGGGAAATTGCCCCAGAGGAGACCACAGCTGCGATACAAGAATACAGTATCTGCAAGTGGGATCTGAAGTCTTAGGAATGGACCTCAACAGCTGGGAAACCCTGTCAACTGAACGTTCAGCCTGGAGGCAGGGGGTGCATCATGGCCTCACCCAATTTGAAGAGATCCTCGACCAGCAGGCCAAGGCAAAGAGGCAGTCCCGAAACCAGCAAAATCAGGGAGCTGGACAGGGGACAGATAGTATTTGTCTTCAGTGTGGAAGGGATTATCACTCTCAAATTGGCCTTCTCAGCCACACTAGATGCTGTTCCAAGTCCTCCATACAGAGCATGTTACTATAGTCTCTCGAGACTGAAGGATTGGCTCCTTAAAGTAGTTGTTTTGTTATGTATAATATTCCTGTTGCTTGAAAGAAAAATATATCCATCTTCTTTGAAGTCTCCTATGTTCTGCTTGATATATGCAATTAGATAATTATTGATCTTAGCATAAACTGTTTCATCTTTCTAGATATATGTTTTAAGTTCTTATTGTTTAGAAAGGGCAAAAACCTATAGTTACTGAGAGAGCATCCCAGATTTCCGCAGTGGGAGGGAAAGATAAGCAGATCTGCTATTGGAGGCATCTATTTTGAGGCAGAAGGATTGCAATGGCAGTTTGGGGCAGGCCATGTAGCCTTGACACACACAGACTACCTGCTTCTCTCTTTAAAGGGGCAGAAAATTATGATAGTGGGCTCAATAGCAGAGAAATTAGGAAACACCCCTTTATAGCAAGAATAAATGAAAAAGCTTCTCCCCTACCCATGAATTAAACATGAGCAATAACAAAAATGACACTAAAACTTCAAAGTAATCAGAACCACTCAGTCTCTATACAGTTTATGAATAATCTGATCACAGGCAGTCATCTTTCTCCTTTCGCAATATGCTTGGCTGCAAAGGACAAGTAAACAGATGATGAGCTGGATTTATCCAGGTCAAAGTAAATTGTTAGAAAAAAAACTCATTTTAATCCATCCATATATTTACTGAAGTAAACCTTCAGTAATTTTTTACTGAAATCACTAATCTTTATTAAGTAATTGTTTGCTTTTTACTGTAATGTTATTACCTGTGTTTTCTCTTAGCCAGCTAACCCTACATGCTGAACTTTGGGGATAAAAGATTATGAAGCTAAAGGGTGTGTTTCTCTTCTCATCTTTAAATTAGAAACAAGCTGTACTGAATTTGTCATCAGCTCATAGTTTCATTTTTTGCTTGGTTGTGTAAAAACTTGAAAAGCAGTTTGGTAGTGCATAACTTATAGTTTTCTTTTAAGGTATTTTGCAAGGGCCTTTCCAATCTGCTCCTTCAATTTTTGTCACCTTTTGCTCCTGTTTCACAAATATGGAGCTGTTTGAGAAACCAATAATAGCATTGACTGTTTGTCCAGAAGTCTGGAAGGATAGAAGGATAGGCTTAAGGGCGAACAGGGTTCCCGGGGCTCTTTAATAATTTAAGTATAAAAACTCATTCATATTCTAACTTGTCTATACAAAGCTCAAGGTGTCTTACAAGGAAGCAAATGATTAATTTAAAACATCATTCCAATCTGCAACATGGCATAAAACATAAGCAGTGCATCGGAAAATGGCCCAACTGTAATAAAAATGTTTTAAAAAATTAAGAAGACCAAATTATCCAGAAAATTAAAAATACTTTCTAGATACTCCCCCGAAACAAAGGTCTTTACTAACTTGGGAAGGCTGGGCAAAAGAGGGAATTCCACTAGCTGAAATTCTATTTTCTATACTGCTAGCATGCAGCTCCAATTTCTTTTCTCCCTCTTTATTTAGCTCTACTTGCAGCATGAAATGCAGTCTAGCATTTGATTCTCTTTTGAGTTTTTACTTGTTCATTTGGCACCTACAGACAAGTGATTGTAATGCAATTATTGCTTGTGTTTGAGATAATTAATTAATGGCACATGCTTATGGAACCCTTCCTTTAAAGCACTTGCGTTGGTATATCTGAAGCCATCACATTCTATGTCTGTTTTTATTTTATCAAAAATTTCCTTTCTACCTTCAGTCAAAGAACTTCCAAAGTAGCTATTAGTGAAATTTAAAATGTGTACTGATAGATAATTAAAACGAGTCAGCAGGAGGTGATGGAGCACGTCAGCAAGAAACTTGCAATAAAATGATACAAACAACATTAAAATATTACACACAATAAGCCCAGGAGAGTAAAACAGTATTTTCTCAGTATTCTTAGTACGTAATACAGGTTTATCCTGAAAGACTTATTGGGGAAGGTAGGGTTGGAGTAGCAGTAAATGATTTGATTTTAGTTGCATGCTTTACGGCTGAGCAGCAAAATAAGTACTTAGGCCTATCATTCCATCCACTGAGCTGTGTAGGCTTTCACTGGTATACTAATCAGCTGATTGGTGTTTGTTTTCATTTGTAAGATGAACAGAAGTACTGTTTCTTGACATAGTATTCAACCAAAGGCATCAAAGATTCCCACTCACTTTTTCATAAAGATTTTAAAAGTAGGTTGTGATTTAAAAATGTTTTTTCTTGAAATGCCAAGGCATCAAAGATTCCCACTCTCTTTTTCATAAAGATTTTAAAAGTAGGTGTGATTTAAAAATGTTTTTTCTTGAAATGCTTGTTTTCCTTTTAAATCTAGGGAGGATCTGATTGACAAAAACATTGAAAGTTCTGTTTCCAAAATGCAATCTGTTATTGAGCTTGGACGAGTAATCAGAGATAGGAAAACCATTCCAGTAAAGGTAAGATGTCCTTTAACTTCTTTTACATCAGTATCCCAAAAGCACTTATTGGTGCTGCCAGAAAAAGATACAAGATAAATCAATAAATTGCAGAAAGTGCACCATGAAGTGGTTTCAATAGCCTTGGTTTCATTGGGTTGTAGACTTTGGTGGCCTTTCCTCCCCCCAAAACTAAAATTGTTGAATTAAATTTCAGTATCCATTGAAAGAGGTGGTGGTTATCCATAAGGATCAACAGGTATTGGAAGATATCAGGTCCTTGGAAAAGTACATACTTGAGGTAAGACGGAAGAACAGAAGACATTGTGGATACCAAAAGCTCTTACACATTTATAGTCAAGTTGTTGCCATGTTGTATGCTTGGAAAGTCACAGTATGCACAGGAGACCAGCCCATATAGATTCTATGCTGTTGCAGTTCTTCAGCCACTGCTAAATATCATAGCTGTATCTCTAGAGGTGTTGGAAGTAGGGCTATGATGACAACAGTCTGAGTATGATGTATTTAATCTGTTCAAGAATTTGAGGATTGGAAAGAGATTCCATACTCTGCTACTCCATATTAATGCACACTCAATTTACCGTCATCCAGATTAATGTGGAACAACCAGAAATAAGAGAATCTTGCTGCAGCAGGTGGCTGCCTAGCCCAACAAATATTTATTTGCAAATAAGTCTTCTAGGTTTTCCTGAGTTTCCCTTTTAAGTGGGTGGCTAAGTATCAAATAGCTCTGCAGACCTGTTTAGAAAGAGCTGTATTTACAGAAGATGCTGGTGTGCCCTCTTTAAAATGTGGCCAGTGAGAATTCAGAATGCATCAGTATTTGTTTTGTAAAATCTTGTTGCTTGTCTGTTGACATGCTTTTTTTTATTCTACAACCAGCTGTACTTTCATGATTGATTCAATTGTAAATGGAGGAAAGAAAGCAGTATACAGTCTGTCCTGCTAAGAAAATAAATGACATAGGAATAAAACACATAAAATCTTTTATTTGGTCTGTACCACTCAGTGGCTTGTAGCTACACATTGATTCAAAGTGCTTGTTTTGAACTGATCTTCCGTTATGGAAAGTGAACCAACAGAGAATTATCTGCTTTGGAATGTGTGGTCTACCAGACAGGGTGATCCCTTGTGTGGCTTCATGTATCAGGTTCCTCTAGTTTAGTGTCTCATAAAAGTCAAAGATCTCTTTATAATATTGTGTGCCCATTTCTTTGGCCATACAAAAAGTCTCCCTGCCTTCACTACAAGCAATAGCAACCATAACAAAAATATTGTAAAATTTCTTTCAGATGCAAAACATTAGAAGGTAATACAGATTAATAGACCAGTTTATGTTTTTTAATAGTGTGCATAGTTGTGAGTTGTAACTTACAGCTTTTCATTAGCTGAATTATATAATAACCAATTCTTTGTTTTAGAGAGCTATTGACTATTCAGGCAGGTCATTTATTTAGGAATTGTTTAAATTTTTAAAAAGGGAGTGGCTGTCCTAATGACAGCCAAGGAGGGCAAGAGCTGAATGAAGTTGTCCCATACCCCTAGAGATAGAATGATTTGTGGATGGAGTAGGTTTGAGATCTTTCAAGGTGAATAATGGAAACAAAGGTAAGAATAGAGAACGAGGTTTGTGAAGCTTTTTGATGTAAGATATTGATTAGATAAGAATTAGTGTAATTCAGTAATAAAATGCATTCAGATGTTATACTGTAAACAAATTCACTCATTCTATTGCTAGAACTTGAAAATAAAAATAATTGTAGTAGAGAAGTGAGTTTTTGTTTGTCCAGTTCTATTTAATGATTTTCTATTGAACATTAGATTAACGTTGCTGATTTGTTAATTATGATGGCCCATAAGATTTTCCTATTTTTTTCTTCTATTATTTTGTCAATCTGCAGGAACTGAATGTCCGTCAGGTGACATTATCAACTGATAAAGATAAGTATGGAATCCGTCTGAGAGCAGAACCTGATCACATGGTGCTTGGGAAGCGCCTGAAAGGTGCCTTTAAATCTGTTATGGCTGCTATCAAAGAACTAACAAGTGAGCAGTTGGAAGAATTCCAGAAAACGGGTCAGTAACTTACAATATGTACATTTTATCAGAAAAGTGATGGAAGTGATTTTACAAAGAGATGCAAAAGAAAATTTCATATTCAAATGTGCAAGCCAATCCATTTCACTGGGTGTATTTTATATCCTAAGAACAAACTGTCAAAGATTTAAAAGCTATTCAGTTGGTAATATAATCACAAAAGTTTATAGATTTGGTAAACTTATTGAAGAATAATTGGGAAAATCACAAGAGTCAAATTAATCCATATTTGTATAAGACGACTGGGCGTATAAGACAATCCCCCAACATTTCCACTCAAAATATAGAGTTTGTATATTTCTGAAGGGAAATGGTAGGAGTTTAGAAAGATAAAAGAGCAACACCAAAGAGTGATGCAATTTACTTTCATCAGCCATACAGGCTTGAACGAAGGCAGCTATCTATGCCACCTTGAGCGTATTAAAGGAGAGGTGGGGCGCAAAGGAAACCAACTTTTTGAAGACCTGTTCCATAGCCCTACAAGCGACGGGCCCCCCAGGGCGGCCAGGCTCTGCTGCGGCGTCAGTGCCGGCTGCTCGGGGCTCTGCCTGGGCCCGCCCTGGAAGTTTATGGCCGGCGACAAGGCCTGAGGAGGAGGAGGAGGAGGAGGAGGAGGGGAAGCGGCTCTCCGGTGGCGGGCGGGTGAGCGGGCAGCTGGCTCAGCGGCGCGGGACAGCGGGTAGCCTGGCGGCCGGCTCTGCTTCCCTCCGTCTTCCCCAGCCGGCGCGGCCCTGCGTCACGGTGGCGGCTCCTTCTCAAGTGCACCTGGCGTATAAGATGACTCCCCCACTTGGAGGATGTTTTTCAGGGCAGAAAAGTTATCTTATACACCGGCAAATACATTAAGTGTTAAGGGAAGTGTCTAGTCAGCAAGTCAACCTTGTCTTTCAGATTATCTATACTTGCACGGATAGAAAAAGTATTTACACTTCTTGTAGTTAAATATCCTTTACCTGATAAAAATCTTGTGCCGTGTGAAACCCCCAAGACTGATGGTTGTTGTTGTGTTTTCCTTTGTCGTTTTTGCTACTCGGAGATGGTAAATGAAAAGTTAAAATCAGTGATTTTGGCAGAATTTGGACCCCCTCCCCCACAAAAGGGCCTATTTGAGATCTTTCTGCCTGTGTTTCTGCTACATTTGTCATGCTGAAATGGAACAGAGAGGGCTTGTTTGAAAATGGGGCAACTTTAAAGAAAATCTAAGATTAATTTATAATGGGTATTGCATTTTTCTTTTCCATTTTGCATTATGAGACTTGGTCTGATGACAAAAACAGCATAGAGTAACATTAGGTCACAGAGAACCTGAGGTGTGGTTCCACATGAAATGAACCGAAAATGGCCTGAATTGACTATCTTCTAGGTTACAGAAACCTGCTGCAGAAATGAGTTTGAAACTTTCAGGTTGTGGTGTTGTTTTAATACTGTGCTTTAATTGTGTCTGTTTAGGCACTGGAATCCCCTCATCGTAAATGATAGTCCTGGTTTGCTTCTCTAACCTGAAGCATTCTTGGGTGATGTCTATAATTTAGAGCTTGTGTTAGCATATTGCTAACTACATAAAACCTTTCTGTTAACTCAGTTTGATATATGGTTGCTGTTTGACTTAAGCCAGCAAATTGGCTTCTTTTGCACTTAAGAGGTTTTTTTGGCAGAGGATGCTAAGCTTCTTTTTGAAGAAGGATTGTCTGCACTAGAGATGGTGTTATTTGTATACGAATATGAATATCCCCACACAGGTGGCATTGAGGGCCCAGCCCCATGGGGCCGGATAGTCCACTCACTGATCTGCCACGGACATGGATGGCGTGATTCCACTAATGCCTCCGCAGCACGTGATCTGCCCGCCCGTCTTCGACCTTGCAGCGAAGCTTGTCCTCCCGCCTCCTGCCAGGAGTGGCGAGGGGATTGCGCGCTGCGGAGCCATTCATAGAATTACGCCATCCACATCTGCGGCAGATTGGTGAGTGGACCATCTGGCCTCATGGGGCTGGACCCTTGTTTATGCCACCTGTGCAGGGATATTCATATACGAATGCCCCCATCTCTAGTCTGTGTTTTCATTCTCAGATGCCTTTTAGGTTAGACAGGCTCGATAAATAAATGTTCAGCAAGAGCAAATGCCGAATATGGGGCAGAAAACAACCAGTTGTCAAATTATGAAAAAGAGCTAACATGACTAAATATTCCTAAAAGGGATTTAATTATTTACATTATTTAATCTATTTCATACCCGCTTTTCAAAACAGTGGTTCCAAATTGTGGTACTAAATAAGAAGAGAGGATAAATGGAACATAAAGTTTAAACCTTATAAAATCTTTTCCAGTTTTGGTAGAAACCCAAATCTGATATTTGAGACTTGCAAATTAATAGAATTGGTTGTCCAGCATTCTAAGCTAATGTAGTAAATGAGGTCTGTCCAAACTACAGTATGGATAAGAAAAAGTAAAAGTGGTACTAGAGGGAAAGCTGAATAAGAACAAAATCAGTGAGACACCTTTATATACATGCTATTTTTAAAATGAAAGGAAGAGTGTAATGATATATCTGATTGTAGAGTCATTACAGTTTTCTTGAAATGTAGGACACAGTGCTTCAATATAAAATAAATGCTTTTCTGATTTGAATGAATCAGGCACCATTATGGTGAACGGCCATGAACTGCACGAAGAAGATCTCCGTCTGATGTACACCTTTGACCAGACTGTAGCAGGATCTGCCCAGTTTGAAGCACATTCTGATTTTCAGGTATTTTAATGTAGCAACTAGGGTTGGGGGTGATGCAGAGGACTGGTATCCACACATGCAATTTTGTTAGCCTCAGTTCCTGGGAGTCTTGGCCTTTTAATTTGAAGCATAGGACCCATTTTTGGAATATTTGCTTGCAAATAGGGATCTAGACAGTCATTCAGGCTCACACAAAGGGTTTGCTCACATCAAGAATACATATCACGGTACAATGCACATTTTCAAACCCAATTTTACATTGGCTGCATGTCACATTCTTCCTCTTAAAGAAGATGCTCTGGGCCATCTACGTTCTGACTTTTATTGCTGGGCTATGATTTATCACAAGGTTTATTAAATCGCATTCCGGTATTCTTGTATTTGTCAACATGCTCCACATTTTTAGTTACCTATGACTTTTTAAAAAATCCTTTGTAGTCTATAACAGTTTAACTATTAATGTTGTTTTGTATTTGCTACTTTGTTCAGAACATCTGCCGTTGTTTTTTATTTGCCAGGTTTTGGTTCTCCTGGATGTTACTCCTGATCAATCTATGGTTGATGAAGGTGTTGCTCGTGAAGTAATTAATCGTATTCAGAAGCTTCGAAAGAAGGTGAGTATGTCTTGGAGATGAAGCAAATCCCATCCAACCCCTTTGCCTTTGTGGTTATCTTCTCATTCTACTACCACCTTGATTGTTAATGTACTTTAAAAAATGTGTACAGGAAAACTCTCTGGGGTCTAAATAGCAGTGAAGGATCTGAGCATGTTCTGTAGAAGTTTTGACATTTTCCCTTGTAAGAGAAAACTCCCATGCGGAACCCTTTTTTTAAAAAAAAAAAATCTGCCCAGTATCACACTAGCTCCTTTTAAAAACACACAAACAAAAAACAAACAAACAAACAAACAAACAAACAAACAAAAGGATTGTGGAGTTGTAGACTGAATTGCAGAGTTCCTTTACTGTAAGCCCATGGGCAACATTTGCTTATAGTGCAATAATTGTAGCTTAGCTAATATCATAGGAATAAGAGTAGTAATAGCAGCAGCAGTAGTACTTGTGACGATTGACATCTAAAAGCCAGAGACAATGATTCATCAATAGCCATTTGCTCTTCAAGTCTGCTTGAGCTCCTCCACATGGTGATGGACTGGCGCGCCAGTCAATCTGAGCCAAACAGGGAGTAGCGAAGGTTGATGAGCATTGTTGTACACTAGTCTGTGGAGGGCCACAGACTGACCACTCGTGCTCTAGGCTCTGTACATTCTTGAAGCCAATTCACACTTTACTTTTTGAGTTTAACTAATTAATAATACTTGAGTTTGAATAGGGAAATTCCATCATCTATGAATGCCACACATGTAGATAAGTGTTTGTGCAGTAAGCACTGGACTACTCCCTATTACATTTCCATATTGGGCTATTTAAATGCTGTGCTGTTCATAGTTCTAGTACTGTACATATATTTTAAACACTCGATGGTGACACTTCCCCTGAGTTAAAAAGAAAAATGGAAATCAATTTCCAGATGTTGAAACTTAGAGCAGTGAAGGGCAAGTTCTGGCAGCCTGCAGGACTGGTGCCCCCCACGAATGTACTGAAAGTTGCACTTGGTCACTGCTGAACCTGCCAGTATGGTTTCAGGGAAATACTACATTTTTTGTGAAAACAAAATTCCCAAAGCATACTTACCTCATTTCTGAGCCTAATGGCATTCTTGGAAATTTCCCGGTCTTGAAAATAAGGAAACACTATTCATCTGGGAAACAGGATGCATTTACCTGCATACATTAGCTAAAATCCAATAGTAATTCACAACCAGAGTAGGCCTGTTGAATCAATGGAGAATTGGTATATCCCTTTGATTCAGTGGGCCTACTCTTGGTGTGGCTTAGTGCTGGATTTCAACCATTGTTTCCACTGTAAATAGCCCTTCCAAGGTGCTTGGGGGAGGGCCCATTCCACTAGAGCAGGGGTCTCCAAACTACGATCCATGGGCGCATCCATCCTGCCTTGCTTTTTTATCCGGCCCGGCCATAGGAAGAGGAGGGAAGGGGGACCCAAGCGATCCCCCACCCTTGCTGTCTATGCAAAGATAGTGGGGTTGGGGAATCGCTTGGGTCCTCCTTCCCTCCTTTGGCCTTCAAAAATGTGTAAAATATGTGATGTGGCCCTTATACTGAAAAGTCTGGAGACCCCTGCACTACAGGCAATGTGTGAAGTGCCTTTGTGCTTCATGTACAAGAAAAGTAGCACTTCAGGAGTACTGTTAGCCTCAGTTATAGAAAATAATCACATTTGTATTCATCCCCTTTCCTTTGCCTTAAAAAGCAAGAATGTTTGCCAGTGTAGCAGGTTCAGTAGCCTATATGGAGCCCAACTCTGCAGTAGAAGCTTACATACAGAACAGCAGCACTAACATGAGGTTATAAGAACAACCCCAAATGTACTGTGGGAGGAGTGATGAGCTGGAAATGCTTCTTAAACCACAGGAGCCTAGAGTTTGACTTATTCCAATTGAGTGGCTTTCTGTTTTGTTTTTTCCTTGTAAATTCATATGTACCTCATGCCAAGTCAGCTGCAGCATTGCAGGGAACAAAATCATTAGGCAGATCATAATAACAGCATGGCTATGAAGGGAAAAGACAAATCAGTCCTTTAACATAATAGGAAAGTATTGAAGGAGAAGTCTTCTGTATGCTGGAGTCGGGAGTGTGTGGGATATAGACAGAGAACAGATGGCTATAAAAGGAGAATAAAACAGAAGATAAAAATTGAGCATGACAAAGGTAATTGTGCATGAAGGTGACTTCTCTCATTGCAAAGGTAACTGTATCTATGAATAAAGTTCAGTACGTGGTTGAAAATAACTACAGACTTAATCCAGAACTGAATATCATTATGTTCATTATATCATTAATTATGTCCGTACCTTTAATTCAGCAATTATATTTGTTTCTCAATAGTTTTTGTTTAATGAAATGATGAAGGCCAATTGCATGTTGTTATGTTGGATAGCACACTGTTAAACTTGTTACTCGAAGCATCATTGCACTTTGGCACAGGAAAATTCACTTATAATAAGATGTATAATTAGATTCCCTTCCTGCTTTTGTGTATTTTTCAAAAATAATTGTGCTGGAACATTTTTAAGATTCTGCTTTATTATAACAATACCTAAAATAGATTTTATTTTCTTGTTACAAAACTATTTCTATAGACTACGTTTAATATTCATTGGTGCTGCTGATTTTTTTCAAAGCGAAATCTTGTTCCTACCGATGAGATTACAGTATATTACCATGCACAACCAGAAGGTGATTATCTTGAAACTGTTATTAAGGAGCATACAGACTTCATTTTTGCAACAATAAAGGCTGCCTTGAAGCCATACCCAGTGCCTCCGTCAAAAGAAGTACTCATTCAAGAAAAGACTCAGGTAAGAATAAATACACATCCTTTAGATAATAGTCACCTAGCCCATTATTTGAATAATGTATTGCTCACATTAAATGTTTATTGGACTGGACTGACTATATCCATTTCAGATTAGCATATTGTATAACTTTAAGTTCAAGAAGTCAGCAAAATCATCCAAAGGTAGTTTCAAAATTAGTTTGCATGGTTTTACACACCCAGAAATTGAAATCCTTTCTACCTTCATATTTAAAGTAGTAGTCTTTACAGTTTCAAAATTTCAAATTTAACCTGTTGAATGCACCTGATACAGCACCATTTTAATGTATGTTAATTTTGTACATTCTTCATATGACATATCTCAATTTTTATGGTTTGATGTGGTACACAAGAGGCTACTTCAGTGCAGTTGTAGCCCTTGATCTGCAGAGGCACATTTTCCTTATTTGGACATGTATAAATAGCCAGCATGACTAATCTGATCTGCTTTTAAAACCATGTAAATTGTTATCTATCCCTAGATCTTGTGGCAGCAAATTCCATATCGTAACAGTGTGGTATATAAATACTTTTCTTTACATCTTGGCAGAAATTTGCAATTTACATGATACTCATTTGCAAAATATGAACTAGTCCTTCCTAAAACCGCTGCTTGATCCTTAAGATCAGCAGAGGGACCTCCTCTGTGTTCTCAGTGGTGTAAGCAATAAATTAAGTGGAGACATGAGACAGAGGCGTGTGCTGTGTGGTATCTGGCTGGCACCGAGTTTGATACCAATTTGCTTCTTCACAAAAGATTTTGGGTGAGATCATACTTAACTAGGTATAAATAGTTTTTAGCATATACATTTTAGAATTCTTTAAAATCTTTATGTTGTGTAGTTATCTTTTTTGCTTAGAAACATAAAGGAATATAAACACTCTAATATTTATATGATGAAATGTGTAATATAGGTATAAGTAGTATTATAATATTTAAAATTTCATTAAAAAATTTAAATAGGATGTTGATCACATTCCAGTTGGTTGTGATAAATGAATACTGTATTTGAATGTAACCTAATGGGGATAGTAGATTAATGTTAGATATTCAGCAGAAATATTTGGGATTGTAAGAGAGCCATGAAAATTCTGTATTAATATAACAGTCTAGATGCCGACGATTATTCTAAGTAGGATAGGTTAGCCTTAGATACTTCTGGCTTTCATTTTTTTCAGAGTAGTTAAAAAGTCCATCTGCTAGAACTGTAATAATCTAATTTAAAAACCTTCAGCAATTGGCACTATGGAGAATATAATGAAACATTGTATTCTATGGATTATCCTATGGCCATACTACCCAGAACACTCCCAATCTCATCTGATGCCTATCCACATTTCCTCTCCTTTGCCTTAAATGCACACACATCTAGGTGAAAGTTTGTTTTGATGTGTAGGGGGAGGTTTCTATTACATGTCATATTTTTTCTGCAACCTATATTTGAGCTCATGGGTGGGTTTTAACATGTTTATGAGTAATCAGGTGAGAAAGACCAGGTTACAGTGGGGTCTTGACTTGAGAACTTAATCCGTATTGGAAGGCGGTTCTCAAGTCAAAAAGTTCTCAGGTCAAATCTGCATTTCCCATAGGAATGCATTGAAAACCATTTGATCCGTATCTGCTCTTCTCCGTCCATAGAAACTAATGGGAAGCTGCTATTCTGCCTTCGACCACTAGAGGGGGATATTTTGTTTCTTTTTGTCTTAGGTCAAGAAAGGTTCAGGGAAGGCAGGGAAAATACAGTCCAGGCAGGACAGTACCAGACAGTCCGAAGACTGTCTCCCAATCCACTCTCTAAACGCTGGGAGGAGTGAGGAAGCAGACAGGCACCCTTTTCACCGGCCAACAGTTAACTGAAAGTTCAAATTTTGCACTTTCCCTGCCTCCCACATGGTTTTTTTTCAGTTCTTAACTCAAATCTAAGTATGTAAGTCAAGTCAATATTTTCCTATGAGAGTGGTTCTTAAGTCAAAATGTTCTTAACTCGAGCCGTTCTTAAGTCAAGACCCCACTGTATTCATAAACACGTTTGAACTTGCTTATGGGTTCAAATGTTGGTTGCAATAAAAATGTGAAATGTCATAGAAATTTTCTCCCTAGGCATCAGTATTTGGTTGTCTATAAGATATCAGCTGTACAGGGATGTATTTCCTGAGTCACAAAAATCCCAGAGTCCTTTCTGAGTTGGAGCTGTATCGCCCCTCTCCTATTAGCCTTTGTACCCAACCCCATACTAGTCAGGGGACTCGAGGGATTTGGGGAGGAGAAAATAATTTTTCATTGACTTATATTTTTTACTGTCATTACTTAACATTTCTCTTATAAAGGGGGTCACGGTGACTCAAAATTAAAAAGAAGCAAAGCTAAATGGACAAGAAATATACAACAATTCAATACTATTAAACAAGGGGTAATATAAAACATTTATTATACAAACATTAAAAGAACCTTTTTAAAGCACACTTTAAAAACATGACCACTATTTTGGGGGGATATATAAAAAACAATGGGCTCAAGTTACAGAAAGTCAGATTTTGACTGACTATCAGGGAAAAAAACTTCTTAATTGTTAGAGTAGTACAAAAATGGGACCAATTGCCTCAAGTGGTAGTGAGCACCTCCTGTCAGGTATGTTTTGATTTGGATTCCTGTATTGAGCAGGGTATTCTTTATGCAGAACTTTAAATTGGGCCCAGAAACAGAGTGGGAGCCAGTGAAATTGTTGCAGCAGAGGAATTTTATGCTGCATATAACCAGTCCACATGAGTAGCCAGTTGAGGTTTTTTCAAAGGTATCCCTATGTGGAGTGCTTAACGGTAATCCAAGCAGAGTGTAACTAAGACATGTGCCACCACAGGCATATCAGACATTTCAAAGAATGAGCACAGCTGGCACACAAGCTTTAGCTGTGCAAATGCACTCCTGGCCACTGCCAAGATGTGAGGTTTGAAATTCAGGAATGAGTCCAGGAGTACACCCAAGTTGCAAGCCTGATCGGTTAGGAGGAGTTAACCCCAGCCAGCACTGGTTGCATTCTCTGAGCTGCCTTCTCATTGACAAGAAAGATCTATGTCTTGTCCAGATTGAATTTTACTCTGTTTCACTTTATCCAGTCCACTGATGACAGACACCAGTTTAAAACAGGAACCATCTTCCGTAGAATTATGCAAAAAGGAGAGATAAAGTTGGATGTCATCCACATACTGGTGACACTGAACTCCAAAACTCCAGACAGCCTATCACAATGGTTTCATGTATATGTTAAATAGCATTGGAGGGCATTGAGCAGAACAGAGCCCTGAGGGATACCACAGATGAACGGCTAAGGGGTTGAACAAGAGTCCTTCAGGAGGTAAAACAGGGCTTCTAATTGCCATCCTAGAGAGCCAGCCCAAGTAGGATACCATGGTCAGTGGTACTGAAAGACATTGAAGTGGTCCAGCAGAACCAACAAGGGGCACAGTCCCTCTGTCCAGTTCCCAGTGTAGATTGTTACCAGGTGACTAAAAAGGTTGCCATCACATAATCTGGCCTGAAGCTGGAGTAAAATGGATCTGTCTCATCTGGAAACCCCTGGAGCTTAGAAGCCCCCCCCCATGTACGTTACTGCACTGAGGCATTCACTCCTCCTCCTGTCCACTAGATGTTGCACCAGGAAGGGCATGTGTCCAGTGCACATGTCGTGGCCTTCACCTCTCAAAGGATCCTGTTCACATCCTTGAAATGTACAGATTGAATCCTGTCTATTATCACAGGGCAAGATTTTTAACTGTCTGTATATTTCTGCAAACTTACTTGTAATTGCTTCAGTTGTAAGTGTAGCTGCAACAAAAAAGATTTCATGAAGTTATATATTTCTGTATTTTTTTAAGTTATGATCTCTTACTGTTCAGAATAAAATATAATTAAATATTATTAATTTAGCCTTAAAACATGGTTGTAGCCTGGCAGTTAAGTGACAAGCAGACCCAGAAACACATCTGCATGTGCAGCTGTGACTCCATATGGGGTTTTTTGTGTGTGTGTACTCTTTTTTGCAACTTTGAAAGCTTATTTGTTTCTTTTTGTGTTTGCTTTTACACCTTTATTTACTAGGAAATAATTTTAATTGGCAACTGTTTTTACTATAATTCCTGACACTACTCAAATGATAATCGCTTTTTGGGAAAGTGGGGAAAATTTGCATGCTAGTTCTTAAAAGAATAATTCAAGAAAATGCTATTGTTTGTTTGTTTAGCTGAAGGGGTCAGAACTGGAAATTACACTCACTAAAGGTGCTTTAGATCATCGCATTGAACCAGCATGTGCTTATGTCAATTTGAACATCTGTGTTAATGGTAAAGAGCAAGGTATGGATATATTACTGGGTTTTTGCCACTTTTTTTATACACTTGCTAAAGATTTGCAGGCTTCTGTGTTACACGTTGAGGCTTCAAGATGGTAGCTATAACTTTTTGTGGTTGCATATTGTAATCTATCAATACAGTCATATGCTGAGAATTACTGCAGGCCTGCTCGGGATAACAGATCTGCATAATCAGCATGTGTGGTGGCTGTGAATGAAGATTATCCTGTTTGGGCTGCAAAATCTTATACCCAGTTGCCTGAGATTACTTGCCACGAAACTTAATACCTTTGGGTTTGGTCATAGTCAGGTTGGTACTCCTAGTCTTGAATTCCCTTGCATATGTAGAAAATATATGACTAAAAGCTGGAGAGGCTTATGGAAAAGGCACAACACGGATGTATCAATGATTATAGAATTATTTCAGCACCCAACAAATAGTGAACTAGAAAAAAACAGTTGTTCGTGTATCATTCAATCTTTCCAATTTACCAGTACAGAGATGTGTTAATAAATACCATAATTAGATACCCAGTGTGGTGTAGTTCACAGAGTGATGGATGCCTTGGTTTGAATCCTCTGCTTGGCTACAGAAGCTTGTGGGAGGGTGAAACTGGTAAAACCATTCCTTAAATATCTCACCTTGGAATCCATGTTAGGGTCAATAGAAGTCAGTCTCGATTTGATGGCATGTAACACAGACACCGTGCATTTGTTCTTAGCTGTTATAGTCTGAGCTTAGAGAGATGCTTATCGTAACTTAGAGCATTTGAACAACTTAAGGCATTTTCCTCAAAACACATTACTTCCATGTGTTTCACAAGTTACTTTTGGAATTCTCCTCCATTTCTTAGTAGTTTGCATGTGGCATGGGAGGAAATCATACAAAAAATCAAACTCAAGCTCACTGGACCCCTTGGATATAATCTAACAGGTCTTAGGGCCCTGTTTCATTTTTTAAAAACTGTGAATCAAATACCGTTGTAACCAGTCATATTTCAAGAGACATTCAGCTGTAGGGTATGTTTAGGCATCTTAACACATGGGACCATTATAATCTGATGCTTATTGTCAGTTTTAAAAAGAGAATTCTTATTTTTATATTCTTTTGTAATTAAACTGAAGATATTTAACTTGTTGCTGGGTAAGAAGAGGGAAATGTGCCTTTCAGATAACATGTCTTACATTTGCATTAAGGTATAAGTGTAACACCCTTCATGTGCATTAAGGTATAAGTGTAACACCCTTCATAATCTATTAATTAAGAAAAAGTCAGTTTCTTTGCATTATCATATGTTTCTTTCCTCAGGTGGTATGGTGTTACTGGAAAATCCCAAGGGAGATAATAAATTAGACTTCACTAAACTTATTAGTACGATTTCTTCCATTTTTGGACTTGAAAAGTCAAAACTTGCAGTCTTTAATGGAAAAGCAGGTCAGTACTTCTTGGGAGTAATGCAGGTGCACCTTTGTTGGGTTGTTATTGTGTGTCCTATGTGCGCCTGTGGACTGAGAATCAATTACTGCTGTGCAGTTATTACTTCGTAGGCATCCTTTAGTCTCAAGAGACTATGGTGACATGCTCTGAATCGAGGAATGTCCTCTCCAGAGCATGAAGCCTGGGTAAGGTAATATGAAGGATAGGCTGTTACCCAAGCAGCAAATCCCCCCTCTCCACGTTGCTGAAATGGTCCAATGGAAAGGCAAGAGCCAATACGACTGGTTCCAGCAACGTTGCAGGAGTTGGCAGAACGACACGAGCTGCCTTCGGGACTCCGGCTCCGGATTTTGCCTCTAGGTTAACTCCTGAAGCCTTTTCCATGAGTGGATATAGCCACAAGGCAGTGGAGGTTTCAATCGGAGTTTTCCTTCTCTTAGATGGACTGCCTTCCATGGCTGACGAGCCCCACCTACCCGGCCTGCTCTTTAATAGTGTGGAAGTATGATCTGACCCTTAAAAATTTCCTGCCTCCCAGGCTTATGCAAATCTAATTGGCTTTCCTATTTACCATATTAAGGCCAGAGATAGAATTTGAGAATTTCGCGCTCCATTAGGCGTACGGTCCTGGGACACGCTCTTTTAAAGCAGAAAGTCCCACCCCCTAGGCCCCACTCCCAGGCCATGTGGTGAGGAGACAAAAAGAAAGCCCAGAAAAAAAAAACTCAGCAAAACATCCATGCAAACATACCTGGCCTTCACCCTCAGCCCAGCTTCCTAGGGAAAAAAAAGTTAAGTTATTACTTAATCCTTCTGTAATTGTGATTTTTGTCTGTTTTGCCACATACTGTCCAAACAGCAGTCTCTTTTCCAAAATGTAGATTATGTATCAGGACAATCAAATGTTGTTGCACACTCATTTATTTTGGAATGATCCATATCATTTTGTGATCCACTTACTCCAAAGTATTTGGCACAAATGGTCTTATAGCTCCTGCTTCTTCTTCGTGGCCTCTGTGAATGCACACAAATGGGTTAGACTGCACCTGCACAGGACGTTTCGGAATATTCTAGAGCTTAAAGAAACATGATTAGTAGGACATTTCCCTGTAGTGCGCATGTTCTGCCCACTCGTAATACCTCAGTTCCTTCTTGCCGCTGCTGCGATCGGATTCCTTTGCTTCAGATTGTCTACTTATCTACGATTTCTGGATCACACACTTTGTCTCTATTTCTATGGTTAGATTTGATCTACAGTATTATTTTAGAAAGTGCCTATCCTAAAGCAGTACTAAACATTTATGGACACCTACAGTCTGATAAGATGTTTTATCAATATATTGTTGCTATTTTCCTAGCATCAACTTTTGAAAAAGGATTTTAAAGGATAAATTAGAAAGTGTTGATGTCTTTTGTGGTTATGTATGTTCACCAAATAGTCTACTTTGTTTTAAATATTTTCAATAAACTTAGTGTAATTTATATAATGGAGGGCTCTTATATCACTTTGCAGACTTTTATATGCTCACATGTGTGCTCACTGTCTTACATGTTTGGTGGCTTTTTCCATCAGATATCAAAAACGAAAAGGGTAGAGAATCAACAGTTAATTTAGGGCTGATTAGAAAAGTTAGAAAGGTTTTTTTTATGAGAAGTCTCCCTCAGTATTGGAAAATATATTTTCCTTCTTTATGGGCAACCTGCTTGCAACTGGAAAACATGGCAATTGTCTCTTATATAGTTGATAGTGCCAGACATACTCTAGGCTACGTTGGCTGCAAATTTTGACATTATTTGCCTCTTTAAATTGTTTTTTTTAGTAACAATGACATCTTTGCACTCCAGTCAGGTTTCTGTAGTAATTGGCAAAGGTAATGTGGGGTGAAAACAGTGCCTTGGCATCTTATCTGTGTCCAGTTTTTGGATTACTGTATCTCCTAACATATCAAAGAAAATTGCAGCCTGCAGGCCATGTTGGTAGTCTAATTTATGTATGTATGGTGTAAATATCGGGCTTATAAGATGTGACATTTAATACGAGATAGTAGTATCTTCAGCTTGTAAGATAAAATTTAAAATGCTTAAATATTCTTCTATCACTCATATTACACTTTTTAAGCCATTTCTAGCTTAAATTGTAACATCTTGACCTGCATTTCTCTCTGTTCTGTGAAGATATCTTGGGTGACCAATAGGTTTGTTAGGCCATATGAGCCACAAAGCAATGCAGCAGTGCGTTGTCACTTAGTGATGAGAGTCATTGGGAAGGTTTATCTTGGGGCCACTCAGCATTTTGAGCTGTACATTCAAGCTGTATCATCTTGACTCAAGTCTATTGAGTTAATGTGCTGAATTATTCATCTGCTTATATGGCCTTTCTCGACAGCAACAGATAGCGGCAGAACATCTATATATATGTTGAAGTCCTTAAAAAAAAAAGAAAGTAGAGGAAGTTATGCTCCATAATGTCATACACTTAGCTAGTATAGCTAGTATTCAATAATTCTTGCATTTATTTTAGTGCTTCTTTGAAGCGGGTGGCTGGAGGTAGAGGAAGAACAAAAAGAAGGAAGAGTTGTTCGTTTTAATTAAGAGTTTTTTAAAAATTATAGTTACCCTGGCTCAATTAAGCTACCATTATCATTTCATTCTTAAAATAATATAGTTTGGCATGAAAGGCTTGTTACTTTTTTCAAACATGACAACATTAAATTTGTTGATCTGTCTTCCCAAGAGTGGCACAGACTGTTTGGATTAATATGCAAGCTTGAGGGAAGCAAAAGATGGTGAAAATTACAATATTCTAGTTTGAAGGGTGGTGTGTTGGATGCTTGCTCCTGACCCTCCTTCCCAACTTTGTTTTGTTTAGGTGCACTTTTAGACTGCTGGTGGTCTCTGGTAGTGAACAGTAAAAATAGTCCCAGACAAACACTGAACAGTGATTAAAAAAACAGCATGTACATTTCTCCCTTCAACAGTGCCGAGCCCAGGGATGCCGACCCCCATATTGTTCAAAATCATGTATGAATCTTTCCCTGCCCCCAAAACCATGTATGACTCATGTGCTGCTCAAATCAATGCAATTCGAGGAAGATGTGTAATAAAAACAGCAGCAAGGAGTAAAAATTTGTTACCAATGGAATGTGTTACTTCCAAGATCTGCCCCCCTACAAACTGCTTGTAGCTAGTTTGTCAAAGAAGTGGTCTGAGTTCTCCAGCATTCATTGTCATTTAAGGAGGTATAGAAGAGGATAGGGATGACTCAGAGTTCAAAAATCTGGCTCAGTATATTGGCTGTTGTATGTGTTTGATAATGAAAGGTATTACCCAGCTATGATTTTTGTTTTTACTTAGGGACTACATGGCTATTTTGCTATTATTCAGATGGCACATTTCTTATGATGCTTAGGTGTGGATGAAGTACAATATTTGTTTGTGTTGGAATGAAGATGGTTGGAAATGTAATGCTGCCTTGGATGGGTGTGCATTTAAACACTCCTTTCTAGTCCATAAGAGTTCCTGACTTTCAGCCTCTAAGGAATGAAGTGGCTATTATGTGAAATCACGATCAATGCATGAAATGTACTGTATACTTGTTCCCTATTGTCTGCATCTGTTGGAGCCATGAAATGAGAAGGCTGATGGGCTTTGTGATCACAAGTAATTAGGATAGCAAATAGTCTCTTAGAGATAGAAGTTAAAGAAGTAAGCCACACACACAGGGATGTCTGCCAGCAGTGCTCCTGATAGGCGCCTAGTCAAAGGGAGCAGAATGAGGTCTTCTGCCATGCCCCCAGGTGGACTGTGCTTTTATTAACCTTACAAGCTCACAGATAGTTGACAAGAGTTCAGATAGGACAGTGGTTACATAATGCATTATGATTGGCCTAAGGAAAGGCAATTGAGCAAGCTCTTTATCACCTATGAGAAAAAAGAACGGTGGGCAGTCATGCCCCTCAGAAGCAGCTGTGATGTCATCCAGGAGGGTTTGCCCTCTACTGAAGATTAAGCCAACAGTTTAGCAACCTTGGGAACAGTGCTCCCACATACATCTTTGTATCTTCCTTCAAAGTAGCATACTTGTCACATGGCTATCACTATTTGTAAAATAAGTGCAAAGTAGCAAGACGTCTGGTTACAGTCCAGACATTTGTCTTTTAAAGAAAATCATTCTGTCTTTTAGTTCTCTCCCTTCCTCCTAGGAGGTAAAAATTGTGTGCCTGGGTTTTTCTCGCAAGAAACCTACGTGATAGGTTTGGTTAGATGATAGAGGCTCCTTATTCTGTAGATACCTTGTTTTTAGATTTCAGTTTTGGCCTGCTCTGTAGTAATCCTGTATCCATAGCATTCTCTTCTCTGTCTTCCCTTTGATAGTTTATCCAACTTGTCCCACCGTACATATGCTTAGAGATATATTGGCGTTAATAATTCCTATTGTCCATAAGCTTCATGTTTAAATAAATAACTTTCTTCTATGCACTTTTGTGCTATCGTTACAACCCAAGCATTGCATCTTATCTTCATTTGTGACAGGATACCTTTACTGAGTTATTAGGACAGCATGGGCCCCACACTATCCAATATGATTCCAGTAACATTTGGATAAAGGCAATCTTATAGGTTGGGAGTTGCCTGTAAACCCCCCCCCCCCAGTGGTTCCAGTAACATTTGGATAAAGGCAGTCTTATAGGTTGGGAGTTGCCTGTAACCCCCACGCTGGTGCTGCTTTACCTTTGAAAGAGGCAACAGTACGATCTGTGAGTACAAATGTTAATCCATAAGGATACGGAGCCACACAAAAGCTTGCTTAGCCTAATTGTACGAGATGGAAGCCTATCTCTGATCATAAGAACTGCAGTGTATCTAGTCAGTGCTCTGTCTACTCAAATACCTGGTCTCCTGCACCATCTAACCAGATATTTATAGTAAGCTGAAAACCAGGACATGAAGATGCAAATCCTCTGTTACTGTTGTAGCCCAACATTAGAAGTGTGTTTTCTTTGATCTTGAAGTAAGTGTATGGCCATCATGAGAAGAAGCCACTGATAACCTCTTCCTGCTATGAATGTTCTAGTCCTCTGCATCATCAGGAAACTTAAGGTTAGGTGGTAATTTGTGAAAAGCAGAGCAATGGATAGTTTCCAATCTTGTTCTCCTTATATGGTGTATATTATGGTAGAGATATTTACAGCATGACAGTACTGATTTTTAGTGCATATGTTTCCAGTTCGAATATGCTTGGGAACTGTAACCTAAAAAGGAAAGCACATCTCATGTAAGCATCAGGCGCCATCCTTCGATGTGGGGGACAGTGCTCCGTGACAGCTTTCCTTTAACAGCTTGTTTTCTTTCTTCTTTTCAGAGCTGAAAAATCAAACAGACTTGCTGAGTCTTAGTGGAAAGATGCTTCATGTAACTGCAGGGTCAGTGCCGGCCTTGAATAGTCTTGATGGCTTCCTCTGTCAGTACATCAATTTACAGCTGGTGAATGCAAAACCACAAGGTACTTCATGTGAGATTCTAACTGTAGAATCGTAAAGCTGGAGTAAACCACAAGGGTAATTTAGTGCAGCCTGCTGCCAGTGCAGAAAATCATGCAAATCGAATTATTTAGTAACATTTAAACATTCTGAAACCTCTTAAGGCCTGCCTGCCCTAGGTATTGTTTCCCAACTGCAGATAATGCAGTTACACTTGACCCAGCCCATTATTAAACACAGACACCTTCTTTTCCTCATTAAGGAATGCCATGAAGGGCTAGTGTACATTTTGTTTCTTTGTGTCTGTGCGTACAAGGAAAAGCTGAACATTAAAGACAGCGCAAAGAAGGCCTAATACAGTATTGGATATTGGATATGGGATATGGATATTCATGTGATATGGGATGTTCCTGACATACAGAAGGAAATGGGAGGTGGTATCGGGCTCTGATTACCTGTTTGACAAGTGCTGCTGCCACTGAATAGTTAACCATTCTGAGTTCTGTAGTAGTCATGCATTTGAAAGATAAGCATTTGCTTGAGATTCTCTTGGCATACTATGGCAAACTATTCATTTCTTGATTAGGTTTAGTTGCAAACTTGATCTTATCTATTGCATTTCTGTAGGTTTTTAAATGTGTGTACTTAAAGGTATCTTACCTGAATTTTATTTTCACACAGTTTTAAGTAGGGGTGGGGGGAAACGCAATGTCTCTCTCTGGGTTGGGCATTTTATATGCTAAACCAAGTTAGAAACTCAGTAATAACAATTTACTGAAAAATAAGTCTCATTGAGAAAGCTGGTGGGGTGTATCAAATGGAGTAATGAATTAGGGACTCAGGTTCCCACTTGGCCATGAAAATTCACTGGTAGGGGTGACATTGGTAAAATACATTAACTTCAAAATTCTGTGAGGGTTGTTTTAAGTTGAATGCAATTCAGTGGCACTTAACAAGCCTTACTGAGCTCAGTGCCTCTTTTCCCCCATGGAGGTAGATGTAGGGATGTAGGATAGTATCTTGAGGCAGTCACAGAGTAAAGAGGATGGTAGAGGGGGGAAATTTGTTGTTTTAGGGTACAGTGTAGAATCTGTTTTGTTTCTCCTACTAAAATCCTTATAACTTGTTTTCCTCCAGAATGCCTAAATGGAATGATTGGAACTCTTCTCTTGGAAAATCCTGTTGGTCAGAATGGACTAACATATCAAGGGCTTCTGCACGAAACGGGGAAAATGTTTGGGCTCCGAAGCAGGCGGTTAAAGTTGTTCCTAGATGAAGCACTAACAGCGGGTAAGCATAGAGTGATGTCTTATTTCAAAGCAGGTAAATGACACTGTATTCCTTTATCAGCTTCTCTTCAGATTTTAAATTTTTACTTGTTGTTGCTGTTGTTTAGTCGTTAAGTCATGTCCAGCTCCTTCGTGACCCCATGGACCAGAGCATGCCAGTTTTACTAGCTTTTAATAAAAACAAGATGGTAGGTTTTGTTCAAACCACAGGTTATTATTTTAAACATATAGCTAGATCTAGAGTTGACTTCGAGAAGGGAAAAAAGTTGATGTAGTTGTATGCTAAACATTAAATCAGGTGTTCCCAGGGGGAGGGGTTTGAGGGTTTTTATTTATTTATTTATACCAAATTTGGTAGCAACCAAAACCCTGTTCTCCCAAGCAAGAGGAGCTGAAGGAAAGGGGTATAGCCTTAGAGGCTAATTTGCATGTTTGGTTTTTTAATGTAAGTCAGTTAACGATGAAGTTAACCCTGGCCACAGAGCTTGGCCAGGGTCCTGGTATAATTGGGACCTACGAGCAATGAAGCGAAACAGGAGACGGCTAGAGTGCATCTGGAGAGAGGAACCAACAGATTATAATAAGAAAGCTGTCAGGATCGCAACTAACCATTACCTGGCTAAGGTGAAGGCTGCTAAATGATCACACTTCGCTGACCGGATAAGCGAAGCTTCCAGTCAGCAGGCGGAATTATTCCATATAGTTTGCGACTTATCCGGAATTGGTCTAGGTGATGGGCCTCCCTCTAATATCTCACCTGACCAATTTGAAGCATTTTTAAAATCAAAAGTGTAGGCCATCCGCTGGGATCTCCCTCGCCTGGATCGAGTTGAGATGTCTAGTGCTCCACCTTGCCCGGTGACACTTGAGCGCTTTCAACTTGTGACACCAGATATAGTGGACAAAGCGCTTGATCGATGTCGGGCCACCACTTCCTCCCTTGACCCTTGCATGGCCTGGCTAATCAAAGCAGTCAGGCCTATAACAACTGAATGGGCCACAGTGATAATTAATGGGTCTCTCCAGGAGGGCAAGGTTCCTCTTGCCCTCAAGGAGACACTCATTAGGCCCATTAGGAAGAAACCAAATTCAGCGGCGGACGAAATTGGCAATTATAGGCCCATCGCCAATGTTTCTTTCCTTAGCAAAGTAGTAGACAGGGTAGTGGCTGATCAGCTTCAGGCACTTCTGGATGAAACTAATGCTCTGGATCCATTTCAGTCGGGATTCAGGCTGCGCCACGGTACAGAAACAGCACTGGTTGCACTGTTGGATGACCTGCTGAGGGAGGCTGACAGGGGCAATATGTCAGCCTCTTGAGATCTTTTTTCTCCCTGTCTGAGGTGTCCTACCATGGAGAGAACTGCACACACAAAGAGGAAGTCTACTCAGATGCTTCCATTTACAGACTCTGTTCTGCTGACATGTTGCGTAAAAATGGGCTAGTAAAAATAGACATGGCATCCTGCTTCGCATGTGCTCTTTTGAATGGCAGAAACAAACCACACAGAGGGGAAAAGCCAAATACAAGCACATACAAAGTGAACCTCAATGTCTTTCAAACAAGCATGCTATAAACCTGTGATCTAGAAAACTAAGCCTACAAGGCAAGGACAAGACGGAGGTCTTGAGGGCGGGTGGCCCCCCCACTGGCGGTTTTGGAGACTCCCTCTCTTTTGGGGGGGTGTCTCTCACCACACGGAGTGAGGTCCGCAGCTTGGGGATACATCTGGACCCGGCGCTTACCATGGAAACCCAGGTGGCGTCCGTGGCCCATTCTGCCTATTTCCATCTGTGCCGGATCGCCCAGCTGCGACCCTACCTTGATGGGGAGTCCCTTACTACTCTCGTCCATGCACTTGTAATCTCGCGATTAGACCACTGCAATGCACTCTACGTGGGGCTACCTTTGAGATTGATGCGGAAGCTTCAAATGGTGCAGAACGCGGCAGCCAGACTTCTTAGTGGGGTGAGAAAACACCAGCATATCTCTCCCATTCTGTCTGCCCTACACTGGCTGCCCATTTGCTTCTGCATCGACTTCAAAGTGTTAATGATGACGTATAAAGCCCTAAACGGTTGCATACCTTGGTATTTGGCAGATCGCCTTCTCCCACCCAGATCTACCTGAATTACTCGACACAGCGAGGAGGGTTGGTTGAGGGGCCTAACGCCAAGAGAGGCCCGGAAAGAAAGAACAAGAAACCGGGCTTTCTCGGCAGTGGCCCCTCGACTATGGAACAACTTTCCATCAGAGATCCACCTGGCTCCCTCGCTGGGTGTTTTTAAGAACCATTTAAAACTTGGCTCTTCAGGGAGGCTTTCCCTCATGTCATTTCTTGAATTCTATCTTTTCTGTTCTTTTATTCCCCATCTTGATCACGCTAATGTTCAAATGTTTTTTGGTTATGAATATTGTTTATTTTGATTGTGCTGTTTTTATTGTTATTTTATGATATTTTATGATTTTGTCCGCTGCCCTGAGTAGACGCTATCTAGGGGGGCGGGGTATAAATCGAATAAATAAAAAAGGATAAATAAATAAGTTTTGTTGATTGAAAATGGGTTTAACTGAAGAAAATTGCTTTTGTTGAAAAAATGTGTTGCCCTTCTTGTACTTGAAATAAATAAATACGGGAAGAGCATATGGTCCTCAGAACATGGAAAAAATTGCCCGTCACCACTAACTAGAGGGCACAAAGGGACTTTCTAAGCAAAAAAGTGTTTTCAGGATTGTTCACCAAAAATGGTTGTGTGGTGGTTGTCACATGCCATCAAGTCACTTCCAGCTTATGGTAACTGTATGAATTGGTAGCTTCCGAAAACTGTATGTCTTTAATAGACTTGCTTAGGGCTCAAGGTTGTGGCTTCTATTATGGAGTCAATCTGCAGTATCTCATATTTGATCTTTTTACGCTTTCATCTACTCTTCCTTTTCCACTGACTATTATTTTCTCCTGATGTAGAGAGATTTCAGCTTTGATTAGATCTAGCACCCACTTATTTGTCTTTCTGGCATTTGGTGGTATCCGAAAAGCTCTCTTACAACAACTAATTTCAGATGAATTAATTGTTTTTTCCTGTCAGTCTTCTTCATTGACCCTTTTTGTTTGTTTGTTCAAAATATTTTTATTCAGCCTTTTTTCTTGAAAAGGACCCAAGGCGACTTGCAACAACAAATACAGTGTATACAGTTGAAAACAAAGAGTATACAGTGGTAGTTGACATCATTAAAAGACAATATTCAAAACTGCAAATGGCGAAAATAAGGAGGCATCTACAACATTAACAGGCAGCTCATAATGGGAGACAGGATATTTGGGGTAGCTTGGACCCAGGCCATTTAGGGCTTTATAGGTTAAAACCAGCACTTTAAATTGTGCCCAGAAACTGATCAGCAGCCAGTGGAGCTGCTCTAACGGGGGATTATGTGGTCCTTGTAACCAGCCCCAGTCAGCAATCTGGCTGCTGCATTTTGGACCCAATGAAGTTTCCTGACGTTTTCCATTGGCAGCCCCATATAGAGCGCATTACAGTAATCCAGCTGGGAAGTAACTGGGATGTGTATCACGGTGGCCAAATCAGATCTCTCAAGAAATGGACATAGCTAGCCCACTAGTTTTAATTGTGCAGATGCACTCCTGACCACCACCGAGACCTTGGCATCCAGGTTCAGGGCTGAATCCAGGAGTATCCTCAAGCTGTGCACCTGTTTTTTCAATAGGAGTATGATCCCATCCAGTATTGGATATATTCCTGTTCCTTGATTTGCCTTTTGACTGATCAGGAGCACCTCTGTATTGTCTGGGTTAAGTTTCAGTTTACTCACCCTCATCCACTCCATTACTGATACCAGGCACTGATCTAGAGCTTAATCTGTTGCTGGGGGGTATACGCAAAAATGACCCAAGGGCCTCCATGCATATTACTTCTCCTTATGCCTACCATGACTTTAAACTGTATTTTGACTCCATTACAGTATAGTTAAGATTTCAGCATATGTAAAGCTTTAAACTGGAGAAAAAATGATCCTACAGAATTGTAAACAGAGAAAACTGGTATGGCCAGGACAATGTGGGTTAGAACCTTTTTCTTTGAAGTAACAGGGAACAGCCCTCATTAGCATCTGGAGAATTATTTTGCCTATGGGAGGATTAAGTTATGGGAACCCTTTTGCCTTCAGTCTGAAGTGTTACAGCCGTAGACACAGTTTTTGTTCACACTGGCCTAGTTTTCACTGCGGTGATAATCCTCACTGTTGCATTTTTACCCTCCTTAAGTTTTTGGTAAAACAACAAATGACTGCAACAGAGATTTAGAGGCTTGTCCAAGGTTTTAATCCATCCCCAGTGCTATTACAGGAGAGTATTCACAGATAAAATGCTCTGTTATAGACTTATGTAGCTTTCAACACACTGTGTATTTGTAATTGAGACATTTGCTCTCATTAATCTTGAGACATTGGGAAAAGATACAAAGAAGAAAATATACAGCATCTTGTGTAATTGGAAGATGAAGCAGTACTTCAAATCTTGATGGCGAGAAAATGTACAGCCTTGTAGGAATTTAGCATTGCATTTTATAGTTAGAATGAAGTCTATTTTTCGCTTCTGTCAGTGTTTCAGGGCAAAAAAGTTGTTAACTGCAAATGTTTCTTGTAGATGGCCTGACAATTATCTCAGTGAAGTGATTAGCTTAGTAAAATAATTGGCAAAGTTTAAGATGTGGAGTAATTGGCTATTGGTTGCTTGAAATGTATCTCCTCCTGGCAAATACAATCTCTTTTTCTCTTGTATCACTTCAGTAACTGTTGTTAGGGTTAACACATCATGTAGGATAGCAAGTCATTAATCTTGTGCTGCAGCCTCAGTAATGAGATTTTCAAAAATCTGAAAAACCCCAAACAAAATGAAATATAAATACTGCTTTTGTGTTGACCAAACTGCATGGGACCATAGAATTATTGATTTAACATATCACTATTGCTGTTTTCAGGGTGCT